GATTCTATCACGTACTGTTCCTCGTCCTTCACAGCGGGAGCAGTTGCTTCTTCGTGTTCGTACGTCACATACGAAGGCTTCTCCATGCTGAGCGTTTCACTGTAACCTTCTGGCTTTTCTTCGAACGGAGCTCCTTCTGTTGTTGTTGGTGACGACAGCGGTTGCCTTCTGACTCTCAGTATCGTACTCTGATGATTCTATCACGTACTGTTCCTCGTCCTTCACACCAGGCGCAGTTGCTTCTTCATGTTCGTACGTAACATACGAAGGCTTCTCCATGCTGAGCGTTTCACTGTAACCTTCTGGCTTTTCTTCGAACGGAGCTCCTTCTGTCGTTGTTGGTGAAGATAGCGGTTGCTTCTGACTCTCAGTATCGTACTCTGATGATTCTATCACGTACTGTTCCTCGTCCTTCACACCGGGTGCAGTTGCTTCTTCATGTTCGTACGTAACATACGAAGGCTTCTCCATGCTGAGCGTTTCACTGTAACCTTCTGGCTTTTCTTCAAACGGAGCTCCTTCTGTCGTTGTTGGTGAAGATAGCGGTTGCTTCTGACTCTCAGTATCGTACTCTGATGATTCTATCACGTACTGTTCCTCGTCCTTCACACCGGGCGCAGTTGCTTCTTCATGTTCGTACGTAACATACGAAGGCTTCTCCATGCTGAGCGTTTCACTGTAACCTTCTGGCTTTTCTTCGAACGGAGCTCCTTCTGTCGTTGTTGGTGAAGAGAGCGGTTGCTTCTGACTCTCAGTATCATACTCTTTCTGTGCAACGAGAAGGGCTTCTTCCGTTTCTGCGCCCTTCACGTCTTCTCCGGAGGCTTTCTCTCCATGGGTAAAAAGCTCTCCAGAAACCGCATCTAAGGGCTGATCTTCCTTCTTCGTTACTGCTTCGTACGCTGCTGCAGCACCCATAGCTGCTAAAGCAACAGGTGCAACCACAACACCTCCTGCGATTTTTGCAGCTTTTCCTGCGAAACCTGCAAGCTTATCTCCGAATGAAGGCTCCACTACACCTTCCTCAAGTGGTATTTTTTCTTCTCTTGGTGCCCCTTCATAGAACGCGGAGCTACCGATCATTTCACCAGATTCACCCTCTATGTCCTGATACTTCTCTGGGCTCTCCATCTCATGGTGAGTAACAGTAGTAGTAGTAACCGTGTCTGTTACCAGTGGATACTCCTCGGCTGCAGTTACTGGTTCCCGTATAGGCGACTCCTGTTCTATGCGCTTCTCATATCCTTCTGGGCCCTCCATCTCATAATGAGTGGTAGTAGTAACGGTTTCTGATACCACTGGATACTCCTCACGCTCGGCTGCAGTTACTGGTGATGGTTCTCGTTTTGGTGATTCCTCTTCGAGTCCCGTCTCATACACTTCTGGGCCTCTCCATCTCATAATGAGTGGTAGTAGTAACGGTTTCTGATACCACTGGATACTCCTCACGCTCGGCTCCAGTCACTGGTGACGGTTCCCGTACAGGCGACTCTTGTTCTATGCGCTTCTCATACACTTCTGGGCTCTCCATCTCATAGTGAGTGGTAGTGGTGACGGTTTCTGATACCACTGGATACTCCTCACGCTCGGCTCCAGTCACTGGTGACGGTTCCCGTACAGGCGACTCTTGTTCTATGCGCTTCTCATACACTTCTGGGCTCTCCATCTCATAGTGAGTGGTAGTGGTGACTGTTTCTGATACCACTGGATACTCCTCACGCTCGGCTCCAGTCACTGGTGACGGTTCCCGTACAGGCGACTCTTGTTCTATGCGCTTCTCATACACTTCTGGGCTCTCCATCTCATAGTGAGTGGTAGTGGTGACTGTTTCTGATACCACTGGATACTCCTCACGCTCGGCTCCAGTCACTGGTGACGGTTCCCGTACAGGCGACTCTTGTTCTATGCGCTTCTCATACACTTCTGGGCTCTCCATCTCATAGTGAGTGGTAGTGGTGACTGTTTCTGATACCACTGGATACTCCTCACGCTCGGCTCCAGTCACTGGTGACGGTTCCCGTACAGGCGACTCTTGTTCTATGCGCTTCTCATACACTTCTGGGCTCTCCATCTCATAGTGAGTGGTAGTGGTGACTGTTTCTGATACCACTGGATACTCCTCACGCTCGGCTCCAGTCACTGGTGACGGTTCCCGTACAGGCGACTCTT